CTCACAATTTTGTATATCAAAGCAGGAGATCCGTCTTGTATAGTTGATTAGTTAGGATCTCAATGAGGTATAGCACCACAAAGATTGGTGTTTTTTGACTCGCAAAGACTAATTCAAAGACAACATCCATTTTTCTCACTTAATGCGTCCAAAAGAAATTAATTCAACTTCTCCACGTTTCTAGGATATAATTCGAAACATTGCCTTATTTTACTTATATTTGCTGACACACTGAGTGTATTTTAACTGGTTATTTAGTTGATCTTGTATTTTCCAAGTCAGGATTACTATAGAAAGTCTCATGTCTTTAACCTGATGGGCAATGATTTAACTTCTCTCTGTCCTGGTTTCTGCTCTTTCACTGGGATCTTTGCATTTGAATTGGGTTAGCAGATTCATACATGTGTATCCAAAAGTTCATGACATGGAAACTGATACTTATTTCTTTCTGCAAATTTGTTGTTTGAAATATATGACAATGTTGAACCGGTAAGTTAGCTGCTCAAAGGGCACTTCAATAGTTCGGTTACAACTTACAACAACAACCCAGTAGAATCACACTAGTTGGGTTTGGGGAGGGTAGAGCGTACGCAGACCTTAGGGGTAGAGAGGCGCCGTTTCCGGGAGACAAATGCGCAGTTCGGTTGTTCTTTTAAATTTTTTGAATTTCTTTCTCCCAAAAGCTTATAGGAAATCTTGGCATCACCTTTCATTTCCATGCTGATTCAGTTTACTGCTAGACTCATTAAACCACCAATGCTATGACCAAATATTTAGAACTTCTGATTATTTTGAAATCTAGAATCTTCAAAGAATTGAAATAATCATGAACTTGCTTAAATCAATTTCTTAGCTTACTGTTTGTTGTTGGTTCTGTTTTCTTCATGTAAACTGTTTAAATTTGATCCTTTTTATCTGTAGAAGCCAGTTGTTCTCGAGTCATATGACCAAATTGCTTTCACTGAGCATTCAGAGGCCATTGCATATGGCTTGAATTTGCTTAGGTCAACCATTGCATAAACGAAAGGAAGATCCAACGATGAATGATTGAGAGACATTTATAATTCTCTGAGGGTGCGACAAAGCACCAGTACTGCAAAGAAAAACTTCCTAGATTTTTTTTTTTCCAAATCTGATTCTGACCATAAAAAGAACTAAGGATATCATGTGCTTCCTAGGTTTTTTCTTTTTATTTTCAAAAAAAAGGGCAGCGCCATTGCCGGGGATCGAACCCGGGTCACCCGCGTGACAGGCGGGAATACTTACCACTATACTACAACGACTTGTATGAGCTCTTAGGGTTGGTGTTAAAATTGGATGGAAAACTAGAAAGTACCACCCAAAAAAATGGAGTAAAGAAAGATGTTACAAAAAAGAGAAACGAAAAAACACAATTTGGTATTCACAATATTTTCTTCTTTTCAGGTACTTCACTACTAACAAAGCATGGAAGTTAGAGACCGGAAAACAACTTCTTCGCAGAATAGTGATGCCCATGTCGTGATCAAATCCAAATTCTTCTTCAGCGCACTGGAGGAGGCATTGAAACTCATAGTACATATTGAGTTATCATTTATCAATATGGTAGTGACCATAATGTCATGATTTGAATGAGTTATGCTACTTAGAAGACCAGATTCTAGTTCATTCTGATTAGTAAACCATGAGAGTTGAGGAAAAAAGTTTTCTATTGCAATAAACTGATTACATCAATATATGGAATAGAATGGAACAATAGAAGTAAAAAGGTTCATTACTTCAATTTCTGTTGAAGTAGAAAAATGTGTCCTTAGTCATGAGACAAAAGAATGACATTCATTCTTTATGGAGTTAAACTCATTAATCTACCTAGTGTTTCTTCTAACTCCTGAACTGTACAGAGTGGAGATTTTGCTTTAAAAAGCTATACAAAATTGTGTATAGCAAAAAAAAGGGGACTAATTTCCTTGTCACTTCCTCAAGCGAGATGTGAGATCAACAAAAAAGTCCTCACTACAGGGAATTGTGATACCACCCATAGGATGATCAAAACCAAATTCTTCCTCAGCCTGACTAAAGTCTTGAAATGCCGGTTGATTCAAGAATGATATGGGGATCACAAATCTTTTCTTTTGCTTCTCCCTGATATATACAACAAAGTGACCCTTGGAAACATCTCCACTTGTCGAAGACTTCTTGATCATACGAAGAATTGCCATGATCTTTTAGTTTTAGTAAGAAAGAAAGAATTACTAAAGAACTCAAAAGTAGAGAAAGCTTTCAATACTTTCAAGTTTGGTGAGAGCTGTGGTGGTAGAC